TAAGACCTCGTGAAATAACTTCTCTACTTTCTTTGCACCGTGCTGTAAATACTTATGTTATGTGGTAATCTAATAGTACATTAGTGCATGCTGGAAAGTCCCTTACAGCTGTAGTTTAACTATACTTCTACATTTCCAACGCTCAAAGATGTATATTGGTCTTGATTATGTTTTCCGGATGCCTTCAACTGTGGTACGTTAGCTAGCTATTCTACAAGTCATGTGGGATTAAAGGTGGGATCAAGTTTTATTCTCATGCTCCTTCCAAGGTTGTCTTGCTTTCCTGTAATTGCTATGCAAGATTGTGCTACAAATAATATTGATTTTTTTATGATCCAGTTGCTATTAATGAAGTCCTAACATTTATGTTTAAGAAAAATGTTGTGTAGTTGGCATGGTTTCACATCTCAGTGATAGCTCCGATGGATCATTACTCATATCATAATAAATATTGTTCCACAAAGGAACAAGATGTGTGATTACCAATAGGTGGCATTTTACCATTTATGAAGACAGACTCTATGCACAACATTTGGTTATTTCTAGTTTTGCAATGTTGCATAGTAGATGGTTTGATTTGATATAGGTTTATCATTTGTGTGAGTGACTTTAATATAAGTGATATTGGTGATTATTCTATTGTCGTAGTTATTATCCTATGTGGATATGATTTGGTTTTATGAATATGCTTCTATTGAATTGTTATTTCCAATACTGAGACATTGATTTAAGTTTATGAAATAAGATTTGACATGTATATATTGAAATATGGTTTGATTGGTTTGCTTGGCATGTTGTAATGAAATGTGAGGACTAGTGGTAGACCGTTAACCCGTGGTGATGGGGATTTGTTGCTTCGATATGGTTTTATCTCCCGTTTCGTTGATTTGTTCTAAATTTAGTATCTGTGCCTTATTTCCCTTGGTTGAACTTTTGTAAATTAAGTAACTTGTGCCTGTCTCATTTCTTTGAGCCGTTGTATATATGGTTGTTGGCCCTCCGCGATTCCGTTGAGTAATGGTCCGGAATCGTATCCACTTGGATTCCGTTGAGAGATGGTCTGGAATTCCTTCTACTCCGCGATTCCGTTGAGTGATGGTCCGGAATCGTATCCACTCGGATTCCATTGAGAGATGGTCTAGAATCTCTCCTACTCTGTGATTTCGTTAAGTGATGGTCTGGAAACGTATCCATTCAGATTCCGTTAAGAGATGGTCCGGAATCCCTCCTACTCCCCGATTCTGTTGAGTGATGGTTCGGGATCGTATCCACCTTGGATTTCATTGAGTATGGATTGAGATAGCTTTAAAGATGTAGGCTTTGGTCGAACTGCATCCCTCTAGCCCTAGTTTTTAATGTGCATATGAACGATGGATTTTGAGAATCTTGTGCCTTGAATTAGAAAAGTCGTTGGATGTCTGGGTGACTCCTTCGAAGTTGTCAGTGACTTGATTATGATTTCATAAAGCATGATTCTATATTTGATGTTTATAGATTGTGATCGATGACACTAATTTTACATGCGAGAAACTGATTGATAGTTTTGGATTCCGTTGAGTAGTCCGGAATCCTTACTCTTGCTCATTTCCATAAGTTAGACTTGTACCCTGGATTCGAGTGAATGGGAATTACCCACAATAAATCTTGTGAATATAAATTAGAATTATCAAGTTGTTACTTGAAATCCAGGTAGGGAATTATATAGAAGTCCTTTATTAATTATGAGCATTGAGATGTGATTTGATTGGTTGATTAACATAATTAAATGTTAATATCGTGCCTCCTTGATATCATGGAATGGGTTACTTGAGATGATTGTGGAAGGATGTTGAATATGATTGTTATTAAATGATTAGATCTGTGATCAATGCGACTAAAGGATACTATTATGCTTTATTGATTCTTTGATATATTACATGATATGAATAGCGATTTTATGTTGAAACATAATGATATATATGATGGATGAAATAGAAACCTTGACTGTCTTGCGGGTTATTATGTAGTTTGAATCGAATAATTCATGCTTGTCAAGTCTAAATGTTTAATTGAGGAATGTTATGCATTTTGGCTTTAAACAGACTGTGTTATATGTCGAGTTATAGCGATGGTGAACTACAAATGGCTTAATCCCTAATGAGGGTACGTAGGCAGTCTAACGAGGAGGTTAGATGTAGCCATAAAGTATACAAAAAAATTATTTTGAGTTTTGATTCTCAAGTTGTGATTTGCCATATCCTAGAGATGGGTATGTTAGATATACGAGTATTTGGTGACGTCGCGTGTCGATCCAAGACGTATGTCGGGATCAGGGTGTGACAGCACCGCTGCCGCACCACCATGGAAAAACTGCTGGACCACTGTGTTAGCCTGCAGCCCAGCCGCGTGGAGACAACCTTGGGGCGGTGTCATTCTCGACACCTTGGATCGATTGCAGCAGCCCTTTAGGCTTGCTGCCACTAAATTGCAACCAGACTTCGGCCTGGGTTGGATCACACGCACGAGTCTGAAGCTCTGGCCTACATCCTAGCATGCCTGAAGCTTGATGGGCTTGTCCATTGTCTTGACCCCATCTGCTAGCAATCCTTTTTGCTTGCTGGGCTTTGCCTTAACCCTGACCTGTGACTACCATAAGCCAGCTTAGACGGTTGGGCTTATCCTTACAGCCCAAAAACTGAAGCCAGCTTTGCTGGGCTCTGCATGCATGTCCCTAGGCCGACTTCTGTGCTAGGCCCATGTCTGCCCGCACCAATTTTGACCCAAAACGGCAGTAACTTTGCTGTTGGGCCCATCCCAATTACACGGCCTGTGGCCTGTAGCCATGTTTGGGCTGCTTCACATCCATCTGAGGCCCAATATGCCTTTTAAGGCTTTGCCCTACTCACGGTACCCAAGCCCACCATAATTAGGCTATGGTTTTTCAAATCTAATGCTATTTTTTTGCATTCTCTATAATTTTAACCCAAATGTTATTATTATTTTTGCTTCTACGATCAAACCTGAATGGTTACGATCTATTGAATTAATTAAAGTGACCAGCATTCCATTAATCTAACAATTAATCCAAAATTATTGGCCTGAAGCTCACTTTTTGGCTATTAACGATTTAATAAATTATTTTGTTTCTTTGAACCGTTTACCATCTTTCATAGTCCCGATGCACTCATACTTGGGTTCCTAAAGCAATCCACAATTTCACTGCACTTTATTGTATGTTGTGTCCTTACAGGTACCTTTATATATGAACTGAACGTTCATAATTAAATCAAACATGTAGTTTCGAATTTAGAACCTTTGAAACTCGAAGTTTTCATTCAAAACTTACTACATGAAACCTATAACTGTCATTCTTAAATTAAACCAATACATGTCTATAGAACTTGAATGTTCTACGATATATGTCTATGGTTTTCCATATGACCAACTACGTTTTGTTGTACGCTCTGTTTAGGGACATGTCAAACTTGAACAAGCTTAATTCATCGCTCTAGAAGTATTGCGTTTGCGAAACTCCTACCACAAATTATTAAGCTTAGGGCTTACCACCCTGATTATCCGATCAAGTCGATTCGACTGGATAATGCTGGGGAGTTTACATCACAGATTTTGACGATTATTGCATGTCTTTTGATGACGACGCCATAGACAACAGGGACGACGATGACGACCAGCCACCTTCTCCTTTTGCCATCCCACCCTTGAGAACGATCGGCTTTGGAACGCTTACATAGCTCTGCAGGCGTTAAAGCAGGCCATTCTCTTTGACCCAATCAACATCACGGGCAATTGGGTCGAATCTAATGTCAGCAAGTACACCGAAGTTTTCTACACCAAGGTGCTCGACAATAGTATGATCCAGACTGTGGTGGGGATCGACCTCAACCACAACGACGTTGCTGGGTACTTTCCGGAAGAGCTTGGGCTGCTCACGGATCTCGCATTGCTCCGCATCAACTCCAACAGGTTCTATGGAATTGTTCCTCACAAGTTCAACCACCTTAAGTTGCTGTTCGAGCTCGATTTGAGCAACAATTAGTTAGCCGGAAAGTTCCCTCGGGTGGTTTTCTAGTTGCCGAAGTAGAAATTCTTGGATCTGAGGTTCAACGAGTTCGAAGGGACGGTGCCAAAAGAGATGTTCGACAAGGACTGCCATTTTCATCAACCACAATCGGTTTCGGTTTGATCTGCCTGATAACTTCGGGAACTCGCCAGTCTTCGTCATTGTCATCGTCATCGTCCTCGCCAACAACAAGGGGGTGGGATGGGAATGTGGGTTTTGGGTTGCGGGGAAGGGGAAAAGGTTGGGGAAGGGGATGGGGGTTTCTAATTTTCATTAATTTTTTTAATAGGGTAATAAAATAAAAAAATTTGCCACGTGGCACAAATGTGGCAACCACGTCAGCTTTTAATGGATCAATGGATGTAAAATATAACAGATGTATTATATTGAAATAAAATAGTACTTGAGGTATGAAAGTGAAATGTTTTAAAGATGTTGTAAGGAATTGAAATCGATCCCAAACCTGAGGTGGTAAAGTGTAATTTACACCAAAAACAATGTGTCGAGAAGGGCTCATTAGAGCTTTAGACCACCAAAAACTCAAGAAAAGTGTTTATAGCTTAAACGATTTAAAAGAAGCTAAATACCAAAATCTAAAATTAAGCTTTTTACGTGACAACTAGTTCTTAATCTAATTATTTTTCTCTTCTTAAAATTAAATCTCAAATTCGAATTCTCCCTTGCCTCATTCATTGATTCATTGCTTCATTTAGTCTACTATACATTGAAATAGGATAAAACATTTACCACGGTTCAAAATAGTGCCATGACGTTAATGCTATATAACATTTAGTGTTACATGTGTTTTAATTGATTTCCACAACTGTTTATAACGCTTCTTTTCGACCTTTCTATGCCACTCAGTGCTACTTACTGTTAACAAAGATTACGAAAAAGTAAAACAAAAAAACAATACAAAATACTCCATTCAACATCCAAATGTTGGAAATAAACCACATTCACAAGAATATTTTCTTTTGATACAACATTCTCAATGACATCATAATAAAAGCAACAATAACAACGATACAAGTTTCGGTGTTTCACACTTAAAAGTAGGTCATTGATAAGTTTAAGACCTTCTAATTAATCATACAACTTTTCTTTTGAAAAATAAATGTTACTACTACTCCGTCAAGGATGGAACTCAAAGATTCTATTTACATAACCCTGGCATCACATTAGTGTCTGGTTACGTTTATACATCAGTTGAGTCTCCAGCAGCCATGTAGCAGCAGCTCCTGTATAGTGAATGCGGAACAAAGCAAATCCGCTTTTGACCGAAAACCATAGAACTTGGTTGTAACTGAAATAGTGTTACCGTGGACTACTTGATTCATCGCTTAATGGAGATGCTTCCGGGAAATTGAAAGAACCCTTCAATTCGTTGCACATTCCATGCCTGCTTCGAACGGTATGAGCAGAAAGCAATACAATGCGCTAGCTGCAGCTTCACTGTCCTGCAAACACAAAATCAAATTAACTACTTCAGTGAACATATCAAATAGCTTCTCGGAGTGAAGGGATAAACATATGGGCTTTCATTTAATGACGGGAACAAAGCCAGAAAGTATTCACTTCTTGTTTTGAGCTTGATTTCCTCACCTTGTTTCGTGACACTGCTCTGCATTCGGATTCTTCTTGGAGCATCTCCATGTGGGCAGACAGGGATGGATGTTGGTGGATATTGCGGTTGTGTGTTGTTTGACTTGTAGGATAGAGAGCTACTCGTCTGAGGAATATCTGTAATGGTGTTGAAAGAGGAAGTACCTTCTTCAAATAACGCTTGTGAGAAAAGACATTACTACATTGTCTGGACTCATCGTGTTCGGAGAAGGGTAGAATTCCGGTTGAAGAGCTACTCGTCTGAGGAATATCTGCAGTGGTGTTGAAAGAGGAAGTACCATCTTCGAATAAAGCTTGTGAGAAAAGACATTACCACATTGTCTGGACTCATCGTGTTCAGAGAAGGGTAGAATTCCGGTCGAAGAGCTACTCGTCTGAGGAATATCTGCAGTGGTGTTGAAAGAGGAAGTACCATCTTCGAATAACGCTTGCGAGAGAAGATATTACTACATTGTCTGGACTCATCGTGTTCGGAGAAGGGTAGAATTCCGGACAGCATTTCAACCATTTGCATTTCCTGGTGTTCCTTTGTACCAACAAAAGTTCACCTAACAAGGTTGAAGTATACAAGACTTGGGGATTCTGTGACAAACAACAATGACTTGGGACATAATTGCCCAAAACCAATGCTGTGTGTCAAGGACTACATAACTTATGTTGTGGTTCCTGGACATAAATGTCCATACCTACGAATAAGTTCCCAGAAAATCTGGTTGCAGAAATGTTGATAACTGCGAATGTTTTTGAATTATTTGTAGGAGAATATAACGGTGTAACAATGTGAGTTGGAGACACATTCTCACAAGGCACTCTTGATATTCTCCTACAGATAAGAAAATCGTTGTTCATTAACAATATTGGAGTGTTTCTCCAATAGCTAATGCAGAATAATCTTTTGCACGTCAGTGGAGTAACTCAGCGTTGGTATCACTGGGTTACTCCACTATGCCCATCATACACCCATCTCAATGACTCTTGTAGGTTGGAGCCATTGGAAAGAGTGTACGATGCCTCTGTTATTCAAGAACTTTGTGGGAAAAAAGTCGCAACCTCCATATCTAGAAATTGCGACTCGTTGCATCCAATATAGTTATTGGCAGGCAGAAGCTCTCCCACTTCTGAGAACAACATTGGTGATTGCCATGCGTAATTTTGTAGCTGATCAAATGGTTGAAAGGGTAAACCCAGATTTTCTTCTGCCTGAGAATAAACCTGGATGAAGAATCATGACAAGCAAGTGTTAAGTTCTGATGTACTTCTGGTGCACCATATTAAAAAGTTCATATAATAAAAAAACAAATTAATTCTCACCTCGGAAATCCTTTCATCTGTAGCTCGATTAAAAGCGATGTTGATAACTGGTTCGTTTTCGTAATTGGTTGCAATATTATTCTTATTAGTAACATAAGAAGTATTAACCCCAATTGGAGATGGCCAGTTACTGAATTTGCCACTATGGACGCCCGGAACATTTTCCAGCTGGTGTGGTTGAGACAGCTCAGGAGGAGATAAGGGCAAATCCAAAAGTTTGTCTAGCTGATTAAACTGCCATATTAAGATTCACAAGACAAAGCAATACTTCTAGTAATTCGTTTTACCAAGTTCACATAAAAAATATTTAAAAAAGCGTCTTCATCTTTACCTCCTGCATATCATCTACTGCATGGTCATTAAAATCAGATGAAATACGGCTACCAGGTTCACCGTCATCATGATTGCCACTGCCAAGCACAGCACTTCCTTCTAGCTGTTTGCATGCAAGAATTTCTTCTGTGTTGGGAATAATATGATTCGTTGCAGCAGCTTGGTTATCAGAATTATAGGTGATGCAGCCACCAGTACCAGGATCAACCACTTCATGACTATAGATATCAAGAGAATGTCCAAGATGAGGTTGTTCAGGAAGAGGAAGGAGTGAATTCAGACATTCTCCTGCCGGAGCATATGACTGCCACTGCAAGATTGAGAATCACAAACAAGCGAGTGTTAGTTTTGATACATTTCTCGTGCTCCATACTAACAGGGAAAAAAAATGTAACATTTTTTTTTTCTTCTTGTTAATAAAACCGAGGACTAGGCGAGATTAGCTCATGTCCGTCAAGGTCACAAAGTGCGACTCTCAGTCACGAAGGTGAGAGGACCAACACATCCAAAAACTTCCCTCTGATCCTCTGATTATTAAAAGACAAAACAATACAGATAAGTACATACAAGGGTGGACATGAAACCAAACCTCTTGAATCATGTCGCATAGAGATTTATTAATAAAATCAGATGAGCTGCTGCCGCCACCAGGTTCACCATCATCTTGATTCAATGCAGCAGCAACAGCAGATTCATCATCTCCGGAACTAGAGGCAATGTAGCCACGATTACCAGTACTGTCAGCAAAATCACCCCGGATCGAAGTACCCGTATTAGACTTAGAATCAACTGGCTTATACTTCAGGACGCAGAGAACAAGGTCCCTTCGCTGATCCCTCTCCTGATGGGGACTAGAACCCCGTTTAGGTTTAATGCAAATGTACTCGTGCATTTTCCAGCCGGTCGGAATGGATTTAGACTTACTACCTTCTTGGAAGGTCTTTATTTGGAAGGTTAATGTCCTCTTTTTGCAAGTGAAATATTTCGTGCCCACATCCCGTTGCTTGCTGTTCATCTTCCAAGAGCCTTTCTTTGTTTCCCTATTGAAGCGACGACTATTGATGGATTTGTAATCACACGGGCTGAAGGAGTACCACGCCTTAGCATGATGTGGAGAATCAGGGAACATGTGCTCTGCAACACAAAGTAAGATATCGAAAATTTGTAACCAATTCACTTCAAGGCCTTCTTTGGTGAATAAAGATTAAATTATATTGGATGATTCATTAGACTCATGTCTCGTTTGGTGCCTAGGATTGGATTGAATTGGATAGCTCACAATATTTAAGCTATGTTGATGGAAGAAATGAAGAAATTTTGTCCAATTTGAAGGTAGAAGATGGATTAATCGTAATGAAACTTAATGTTTCGAACAGATAAGTTTTCTTCATGTCTAATCCATCTAATCCCCTAAAAAGAAAAATCGTTCATCTCTTGCTTCACGAATACCTTGAATTATATGAGATATCCGCACCGAACGAGTAAAAGTGAGATAGAATAATGGGGTTACCAGGCAATTCCCAAGGCTCGAACTTGCGGACATCGATGACAGGGAGGAAGAGGCAGGCTTGAGAGTTGTGACTTTTCATCTTCTTGCTCAAGAAGTTGACCTTTTCATCTTCGGTGGGATGGAATCTGATCGCAACCACCATGTCCGGCACCGATTGTGCGGTGGTTGTGGTGGTGCTGCTGCTGCTGATGTTTCTCATCCCTCCTCCTTCTCCTTCAAATGTTTTGGAAACCAGATTATCAGATGGTTTTTTGCATTCAGAGAACAGAGCAGAATAAGCAGAGCAAGTGAAGTTTGTATTTAAAAACAAAGTCACCCAATTCAGTGCCACTGTGCTCTTTTGGCTTGCAAAGACTTCCTAGTCTTCAGATGAAGCTGCCAAACCAAGTTTAATTTCTTGATGGTGTGGATCCCACCCAGATTCCTATCATGTATTTTAGTAATTTGCATTTGTGTGTTTCTGTTGTTTCGAGGAATCTCAGCCCCCGACTCATCACTCAAAGCAATCGTCTTTTGAAAGTGAACAGTGTTTATTCCAAGTCCTTGAGCTTATGGTGCAAGTTCATCTTTTGCTTCCTACACTTTAGGGTTTCTTTCATTTTGGTCTTTCAACCTTTTCTTATAGGATAAATTTTCAAGAGTAGTGCTATCCACACTCAATTTTATTTCTCACATACATTTTTTAATTTTCGGCTGTTGAATCGAATGAGTTGAAGAAAATCAATAGCAAAAAATTAACAAGGGTATGTAGAAAGTAAAAATTGATGTATGACTAACACTTTCCTATTTTCATTTTAATCTAAATTACAATATGACAGATTTTAAATTGCGGGTGATGAGGAGAGAGTTCATTGCCATAACTAAATTGGCTAGTTTCAAATCTACACAGTTATGACTACAAACGATATTACTATCCCAAACGAATGTATTATGAACAATGTTATTACCTTAAACCTTGAGTAAACTAAATAATATGATCTTAATTTTTCTTATATATGTGCGTAAACACAAAAATTCAATTAACGAATAGCAAAAGAACTTGTGTATAAAATAATATTTTTATTAAATGAATGTTTAGGGTACAATCTCCGTGGTTTATTCTTTACAAGAATATTCCTCTTATTCAACCTCCAGTGTTGAGATTAGATTCAAGAGTGGCAAGCACTTGATCTTGAACGAAACGGGTACACAAGCGGTTTCACGTGGTGGGTGTCGTCAGCTTCAACATGAATGAACTGGCATGTGTATTTGTTATGCTTGTTGATTCTTCACGAGCTTGATGAAGAATACAAGTGTTTGGGTTTTTGGTGTTTGTTTTGACCATAGAGCTTTCAGGTTTTCTCCAAAGATTTGGACTTGCTTCATTTCTCTGGAGTCATGTTTTCTTGAAAATAAGGTCAGTATTTATAGCGAGTGATTGAGTTTTAGTTTAGAATTGCCAATTTGAATCCCGTAATTTGCGGGATTAATTTTGTCATTTGTTCCAATATGAGCTAATTATTTAATTTAGCTCTTTAATTAAATCAATCTTTAATTTTGAAAACTAAACCATAATTGATCTAACTTGATCGTACTAGAGTTAATTTGTTCCCTTTTTGTATTTGATTTGATTTAATTTAGATTAATTGATTTAATTTATTCATTATTTAAATCAGAATCAGTAGGTTTAAGGAACTAAACCATAATTGAGGGATTTGATTGATTAGGGTTAATTTGCTCTTTTTTTTTACTTGATTTGATTTGTTTGACAGATGTCTCAGATGTCGACATGTGTTACTCTTCATAACTCATCCAGTTTTGATGAGTCAAATATAAATATGCAATGTGTGCAATTTGGCGAGGCCTATGAAGTGCACCACATAAACCCTAGCAAGTCAAAATTTAATTTGTGGGTGGATATTTGTTTCATCAAAATTTTGAGGCCTACAACTTATTTCAATGAGTGTTCTTTTTGTTAATTACATTTGTGTAGTGCTCGTCCGAAAAGTTTTCTTGTTTACATAGGCGACACTAAGATTTGTTACAAACCGTATGAATTGAATAACACACGAGTGAATTCTATCAAAATTTTAAGGGATTTGTTGTCCTAATTCTACCATGCACTTTTAGAAGTTTAGGGGCCAATTTAGTAGCCAAAAAAGTCTAAAGACCCAAATATAACAACTACTAAAATTCAAGGTGCAAATATATATAATATAATTCTTGAGCTTCCAATACAAGTTTTACCCGAGTTACAAACAAAGCTGCGACATATGACATATCACTATCAGTGGATCCCATCGTCCTTTAACGCGTTAATTTCTTTTAATTACTTTAAGCTCTTTCGAACAAGGAGCATTTAGTGTCGCCTAGATCCACTTAGAGACTCGGGTTATCTCAGGACGTCACAAGTTCATGAGAAACGCCTGTGAGGATATTCAGGGACTCTCCGATTGTCTGGACAGGTTATGATAGTAGTGGGTACAGTTTTAACCCAGTTGAAATTTTGGTAGGAAAAGTGTAGCAATGTCATCCCAAGGAAGAAATGTTTGAAACCCTTTCTATTTTCCCTTATGCGTCGTCGTTTCTTGCTTTTACTAATGTTAAATGAAACTAACATTTTTGGATGTTAGGGTTCTTTGCTTTTACTAATGTTAAATGAAACTAGCATTTTTGGATGTTAGGGTTCTTTAAACCACGTGTAATCATTTACTCTTTCAAATTTAAAAGGATTAATCTCACTAAGTGGGCCTTTTTACTCTTTCTTTAAATAACCTAAATCTAATACAGAAAATTCCCAACCCTAACCCTAACCCAAGTACCGACCTAAACCTAAATCTAAAAGAGCGAAGCAGTCATGCATTATAAACTTGCACACTTCGAGTCCCAACCCTAAAGCCAAACCCCACTACCTGTTGCCGTGTCGTCATCATTCAGGCCGTCGTCTTCAGCCGCTCACCTCGTGTTGCTCAATCAATTTTTTGTCTAAATTTTTTGGGGGATCCCCCAAGATTTGAATCCTGAATCTGCCACTAATGTCGTCTTTTATGATCATTTGAGTGAGGAGCATTTGATGTGGAATCTGATCGCAACCACAAATTTGGGCACCAATTATACGGTGGTTGTTGTGGTTGTGGTGGTGGTGCTAATGTTTTTCATCCCTCCTCCTTCTCCTTCAAATGCTGGTGGAAATTTGGAAACCAGATTATTAAATGTTTTTCGCCTTAGAAAACAAAGCAGAAGAAGCAGAGCAGGTGAATTTAAAAACAAGGATACTTCTCATTTTACTATCATGAAATTTTAATTCAGCCAAATTTTTTAAAGGGAACTTTCATGAAAATAGCTTAGGCTAAGTTTATTTTAATAAAAAAAATCATGCTATAACGTTATTTAATTAAAAATACTTAAATTTTAATGAAAAACCTTTAAATTTTAATAAAAATGACAAAATAACTTAAATTTTAATGAAAAATACATAATTTTAATATTAAAAAAAATCTGATGCGCAGACCCATGCATCTTCACACAAACTGTTTTTGAAACTTTCCACACGGTTTATTAAACTTACTACACTGTTTATGAAACTTAACAGTACTACATTATTTATGAAACTTAACAGTATTACATTATTCTCTCTCCTCTTCTTGAATTTTCTTGGCACATTCTCACCTTCCAAACACATTTTCTTCTTCTAATTTTCTTCGATACTCATCAAATTTTCTCTATATCTCTTCAATTTCTTAACTTTCTATACCAATTACTTAATTTTCTTCTATTGTCCGCACATCTGCAGCTTCCTCTTCTCCTCCACCAAATGCAAATGATGTGCCCTACAAACACAACACTTTTAATAATAAAAAAGTTGGGCACAATGGGTTGAGTTCAGATTAGTCTGATGAGTAGGAAGATCATCATGCTCGTCGTCACGGTGGCGGATCACGTATTGACACAGGTGTATGGAAATTGCAGGCTTTGTTGATCTTCAATCAATAGGACTTTGAGGTCCATTTAGATGTTTGGAAATTAGAGATTGAAATAGAGTTGAATTCTAAGATATTTGAAGAGAGATGGACATTTGATTGCAAAAATATTACCGACTAATGGTTTGAAAAAAATCTTTCCTCATATTGTTCTTCTCTATGAGTAGTGGATCATGTACTGATACAGGTGCAGGGCTTGCACGCGCTTTTGTTAGGTTTTTTTTTTTCTTTTTCTTGTCCTTGTCATTAAATAAAGTTGGTTGGTGGTTTTTGGTTAAAACTCAAAGTTTTGAAGTCATTTTCATTTGTTTCCTTCTTTTTTTTTTAAATTATCCACGTGGAGCCACAGTGACACATGGATGCTCAGTAATCATTTACGTGGGAGCCATGTCACAATTTAACGTACTAATGGTCAACCTAACAGAATATGAATATGGGATAAAAACGTAACTTTATGTACGAGACTTGGATGAAAAAATTTCATATATGACAATTTAAAAATCACGATACTTTAGGTAGAAAGTTAGAATTACCTTAAAAACAAATTCACCAATTAAATTAGCACTGTGGAGGATAAAAGAGGATAAAAATACCTTTGAGGCATACCTGGATTCCTACGCCCGAGCAGCGGACAAACATCCCTTAAACAAGTCAAAAGTGCCCAAAGTAGGTAATAAATTCAAAACTATTTCATCCACCCTCATCCTATATTCTCCACAAGGTAATTATTCCATAACCCCCAAAACATTTCTTTTATGTTAATTAGTCAATTAATGGATTTATTACCTAATTAATCTATTAATGTTTAATTAACTACAAATTAAACCCAAAAAATATCACAAATGGCCGGTCCCTAATCTCCTAATAGGGCCGGCCATATCCCTATAAATAGTTCTCCATTCTCTCCAAAAACTACTTCCAAGTCTCTTGCAAAACTATACAAAATTCTTCAAACACTCTTCCTTCAAAATTCTAACTTTAGCATCGGAGGTTCTTCAGCCAAAGCCCCCCCTCCCAATTCATCGTGGGCGTGTGAGGATCTTTGGCTTGACCAAATGTGTGATTTTTTTTGTAGGTGCAATTTTGTCCAAGAAGGAGAAGGCGGAAATTTGCATCCACAAATTGGTGCTTTCATTGAGAGTTGAGTCCCACATTTGTAGAAGACTCTCGCATCCAACAGATGGGACCACGGTAGCCAGCCACGGCGAGGTCCATAGTGTCACCACCACGACCCAAGCCGTGCCATCCAAGGCGGCTCACGGCACTAAGGCTACGGCCCAAGCCATGTTACTCCACGCCCAATGCGAGCCCAAGCCTCGCACCTGCATGCATCATACGCCGAGCAACCCACTCTAGTGGCCGATCTTGCTCCCGAGGCCTAGCCCACTTTGTGGCCTAGCCTGTTCCCGCCGAGCAGCCCATTCATATGGCCTAGCTTACTTCTGCCGAGTA